CAATAGTTAACAAAATACTTAGTCATAGCAGGAGAGAGATACTCAATAAAGTTAGGCATTAAGAACACCTCAGATGGTCCAGGACAGAGTATTGGGCCTAGAGTCAGAAGCACCTAAGTTCAAATCTGGCCTCAGACACTTACTAGTTGTGTGACCCTGGGCAAGTCATTTCATCCTATTTGCCTCAATTTCCTCATCTGTAAAGTAAACTGGAGAAGGAAATGGCAAATCACTCCAGTATCATTACCAATAAAACCCCAAATGGGGTCACAGAGAGTTAGGCACGACTGAAACAACTGAACAACAAGGAGTTTATTCAGTGAGTTGCCCTTGCCTGTGTTTTCCAAGAGTCAAGTACAGAGAAGACCAAGGGCTCCTCATGACTGCTTTCCAGGAAATGATGTCAACAGTCTGAGCCTTTAGTCGTCTGAGCCAGCCAGATCTTATAAGTGGTCTCAATACCTCTGAAAGAAAAACAGACTTAGCTTGAATATAAACAAGAGTTAGGATATTGCACCTATCACATTCCACCCCTTGGTAGTTAAGGTTCTTAAGGTCTCCTACAGGACGATTTATCACTTGCCTAACTTTTGGGCTATCATTGGTCAACTCAGACCTTCAAAATTCAAGAAGCCTGATGAGGTTAAAAAGAAAAAAACCCCAAACTACCACATAAAATGGATCAGTTGACCCCAAAAAAGGATTCTGGCTGGTCATGTCAGTGTTTGGAGTCTCCATCCTCTCAATGGTCATCCTTTTTAATGCAGGAAATTCCTCCTGCTGCTAGTCAGCCTCTACTGAGGTCAGGACCTGGGAGCTCCTGACATCTTGAACTCACAGGGCTGCCACCAAAAGTAGAAATGTTTGGCTGAAGGTTACTCATCTATAATCTGGGAAAGATACAAAACAAAACAAAAAGCAAAAAATCCAGAGAACTCCATGTACTAGGCCAGAACACGTGCTCTATTTGCTATGTGTAAGCAAATTACTTTAAAGCATTACTGCTGGGGTGAGTGAGTGCACCTGGGGCCTGAGTTCACTCCAGCCCTGGACTTACAGATTGGAAGTACTCCCCACCTCTGCAGCCTCTCCCTCCGGCTGGTTCCTCTCAGAAAACCACCCATGTCTTCTTTCCTCTCCAGGTTGCACTCTCAACTCTCTTTCTGGACTTTCTCTACCATTCCTCTCTACTCCACACCCCACACCAAGTCTCTTCATCTTCCTCACCAACCCTGACTTTCTAGCTTCCTTTTATATGTTGTCCCCCCACTAGAATGTAAGCTCCTTGAAGGCAGGGGATGTCTTTCTTTTTTGCATTTTTAAATATATTTTCTTTTTGTATCCAGAAACACACAATAAGCCTTGCACATGGTAATCATTTAATAAACGCCTGTTGACTTGACTTGAGTTGACTTAGCTCCATACAAAGTCAGAGAAGAAAAAGTACCAGAACATATAGCAAGATACTACAAAGATTTCTATGGGAAATAAATAAGCAAATAAATAGATTATAGCATCTATATAGAGCTTTAAGGTTTGCAAAGCACTTTATAAATATTATCTCATTAGATCTTCACAACCTTGGGAGGTGCATGCTATTATTATCCCTCCTCTTCTTTACAGATAAGAAAAGTGAGAGAGAAAGAAGGTAAGTGATTTATCTTGGGTCACACAACTAGTAAGTGTTTGTGGTGCAGCTGGAACTCAGGTTCTATCTACTGCACTATCTGACTCATTATCCTTTCTTGTAGGAACAGTAATTATTCCCTCTGATGGATTGGAAAGGAGAGACTATTTTCTGTTTTGGAGAGGAAGTAAGTCATGTCAAGATTGATTGACTACAATTTATGCTTTAAAAGGAAAGTGTGCAAGATATCTGAGCATTCAGCCTAAAAATCTAAATTCAAATACCTTGTACAGTGATTCTGTTTTGATCTATGAACATCAAATTCTCATGGATTTATTGACAAGGTTCATCCACTTCCAAATTGATCTTATATTTTAAAATGTATTTTAAGTATTCTTAATTTAGTGATACCTTTGGGACAAAAATTACATCTTACTAAAATTTTAAGTAACATCTAGAATTCTATACCATAAGTAATAGTCTATTTTCTGTAAAGATTACACAACCATTTCATGTCATGAATTCTGCTGTTAAAAGAATTATTTCCATGAAATTATGAAGTTCTTTTCAACTTAACTTTCTTTACCTACCTGGTAAAAATGTTAATTACAGAATATAGAAAGTTTCATATAGATATACACCAACTCATTTAAAGTAATGATCTCCTTACAAAGTGAAGTTCAGAAATTTTGTAATTTTTAATATATGATTCTCCAAACATCATTTTAAAAGAACTTTTAAAGTATTACTACAGAAATACAAATTTGGGTTTACAGTTGAGAACAAATATTACAAAATATTTGAAAAAACATTACCTTGCATCACAGTAATATATCTAACTTGTTATAATTAATTAACTAATCCCTGCTTTTTATTCATATTCAGCTACTTTTTCTTTCCCCTTCATGCCCATTTTAGCCCTTAAAGAAGATATAAGGAATATAAGAGACTGAAAGTCTGGCCCATAATGTAGTCCATGCAAACCAAAGCAAATACATAATTTGCAGATAAGAACAAAAAGACTCAATATCTCATATGTGCATGCTTGGCTGTTTCATGATATAACTTTTCCTTCCAAAAAGATGGGAACTGTGATGGAAAATTATTCCAAACCACAAGCACAAACATAAAACCTAATCTTTTAAAGTTAGAAATGCCTCAAATAATTTTTGTAATAATTCTTTTCTGAAACTACATGTTAAATATTTGAACCCCCCAAAAAGAATAAGAATATAATTTAATACAGTTAAAGGAATTTTGCAGCTTATTTGGGGATATAGGACAGACTTGAAATTTAGAGAAAGAAGACAAATTTGAGCTTGATTAAACAATTAGTTATCTGTTTTTCAGATTTATATTTGTTAAATAGAAATAATATGCCAATCTATCTCTCAGGGTTTTTAATGAAAAATAGTAGCTAATTAAATGATGATTAATTAAAATGGTAAAACTTAAAAACAGAACCAATATGAATGATTAAGTTTTCACAATAATGTTCAGGACTAAAAATGAGATAAGGGGTAGCTGTTAATAAAAAATACTGTGCCCCAAACAAAGGTACAAAGGCTTTAAAAATGAAGGGAAAAAGCAAGCATTTATAGTGTTTTAAGTGCAAGGTGCTTTACACACATCTCACTATAATCCTCACAATCACTCTGTGAGGTAGGTGCTATGGTTTTTATTATACCCATTTTACAGATGAGGAAACTGAGGCTCAGAGAAGTTAAGTGACTTGCCTATGGTCAAACATCTAGTAAATGTTGAAGACAAAAATTGATACCATGTCTCTTGGCATTGTGTCTAGCAATATTTCCACTACACTACACTGTCCAAAGACTAAAGCAATAAAAAAAGAAAGAAAGAAAGAAAGAAATCAAAACTAACAATCAATCAGAAATGAAAATGGTGAGCATATATTAGGGATAGAAAGAAATTGAAAACTGTTTCTGAATGTACAAATTTTTAAGCAATGCTTTTTGTTTTCAAAAATTACAGGCGCGTCTAGCAATTATATTCATGATTAAAGTGAATTAAAATAAGTCTAAATTGTAAACGCTTAACCTTACATTTTCTACTTGAAAACTATGATGATTGTTGTTATATTGTAATTTCTCTCAAACCCATCAAGATGAGCAGAAAACTAAAAAAAAAAAACATTCCAAAGAATCAATAATCTCACACTGGTTATGCTAGGATCACAGTGTATAATAAAATAAGTCATGGGTAAAGAAATATTTAATATATTTTTAGTCTCTGCACATTTGCAACTCATAGGTAATTGAAGATAAGACACTTTGAAATGACATTGAAGATAATCTTAATAAATCACTACTAAGAATTCACTTAGTAAATAAGCAAAGACAAAAAAAATACTACAATATTGTTATTACAAGGCTACTCTATTTGTCAGGTTGTTAGTAAAATTCCCATTCTCATCCCAATTTCTTTTCACAGGAGAGTTATTATTGCTTCCCATATAAGAGCTGACCAAAATAATTACAGAGGTTCATGGTTCCCTATTCATAAAGAGTACTATGTAAGGTATAGCCATGTTCCCTAAACTCCTAAGTAAGATCATTCATTACTGAAGCACTTAACTTTTAATAAACCCCCAAATATCTCCTTCTTTTCCTATAACCATTGAATTGATCCAATATGATACTGCCTAGAGTAAAAATAAAGAATGAGAATAATTAAGATGTTGCATACTTAGCCTACTGTCTTATTAGACAAGAGGGCCTAATGCTTCTGGAAGTAACTTCAGGAGAAATACTCTTTAAGTTATGTGCAAAGTATTTTTTACATTCTGCCACAGCAAAACATTCAGTTAAACTATAGGAAAATATTATTTTTTAAAAACTATTTCGAATGCTGAAAAATGCAAACATTCTCATTCCTTCATTAAAAATACTGCCTTCTCAAAAATTCCCTTTAATAAGTCTGTTATTTTACATTCTTTAAGAATACAACAAATTCATTATTCAAAAAACTATTACACTGATTTTTCTCAAATTGTTGATTTACTATTTTGATGTAATTAATAATAACTTCTGGTATCTATTCAAAGTTTCAGTATAGACATAATCGACAAAACTATTATTATACAGATCAGGCTGTAAATCTAAACAATAGATTTTAATGTCAACCCTTACAATTTCCAGAAAAAAATGCAAAGCAATCACCAAATACTAATTTTCATTCAAGGGCAAGTAACTGAGCATTTGAAGGCAAAAATAAAAAAAAAAATCAATTGGCAATTGGCAATTATTTATTTGCATCTTTAGTTGTAGTTTAGAACTGCAACTGATTGCCTACACACACTCACACATAGACACATACATATTTAAAATAAAATCAATAAAATGGGCTGGAAACTCAAAGGAAGTTTATACAGGATTCTATAGTCTCTACTATGTCAAACTGAAGGGATTGGAATTTGCTTGGCAGAAATGCTGTCACAGTCTTGCATTAAATCATTAGTGGTGTGATAATGCTTAGCAATGTTCAATTTAGTAAATCCAAAAACGTTCACTGGCTGTACGCTATTTGGGGTGCTCACCTCTTGGGATGGGCTACTGTTGTAAATGCTGTAATAAGGTTCAATTCGAGTATTGATGGGGGTTGAACTGCTCTGACCACAGTGCTGATGTCCAGCTGAGACTTTGGGGCTCAGAACACTTTCTTTTGAGTGACTTGGACCACAAGCTTGGTCCACAAATTTCTTCTGAGGTTTTGGAGACAACATGTAGGCTGAGTTGGTTTCATGATGGGAGGACTTGTTCCTATTGACTTCCAGGCTCCCTTTGCCTATAGCTCGAAGCCTGGTCTTCTGCTTACAGCAACAAAAGCCCAGGGCTATATACTGGAAGCACCAGAGGACTTTTCTCCTCAGGCCCGCACTGTTCCGAGAATATATAAAAGGGTTTAATCCTGATTTGAAAAATATGAGGGTAAATCCAAACAGTTCAAACTGGTAAAAGATAAAGCTCCCACTGCTTGACAGAACTACCTGTACCAGGGAAATACCCAGAGGAAGGCAGCAAAGCAACACAGATAGCACAATGACTATACATGTGACCACTGCTCTAGAATCCTTTGCAGTGGACAGATTGACAGCAGAGACCAGCTGGAGCCGACTGGCTGCAGGAGTTGGTAGCTGGTTGGAACACTGGGTGTATCCATGGGTCTGTACATGTTGCAGTTTGTTGTAGTTCTGGTTCCTATATAAAGCTGGTCCAGCACCCTGAATGCTATCTATGCCTCCCATCTGGCCCCCTCCCATGAATGGCTGAGGCCTGGAAGCATCAACTGTGATGACTGGAGGGCATTTTCTTACCTGAGCATTTTTCCTCAGGGCCTGAGCTATCATGATGTAGCAGACAGAGACCACTGCCACACAGAAGGTGAAATCAGCCACATACAGAGAAAGGATGGTTTTGCCTTCTCTGGTATTCAGACTGGACATGGGGAGACAGAGGTGTGACTTGCTACTTTTCAGTGTAGCCAGGGCGGCCAGTGTGAAGCTAGTAGCCCAAAGAAGTAAGGTAAGGATCAATGTACAGGGGAAGGAGGCAGTTCGATTAGGCTGCTTCCCCAGAACCATTCGAAGTCGGTGAAGGGCAATCACTGCCACTGTTTTGAGGGACATGATGATGAAGCCGGAACTTGTGAGGTGAAAGGTGAAGCAAAAAGCATCAGGGATGCTGGCAGCTGAGCTAAAGAACAGCACAAAAGTGAACATGGGAGTTGTCACTCCACAAATGAAGAGGTCACAGAAGGACAAGTTCAGGATCATGAAATCAAAGTTGGTCCTGAACTTCCTGAAGGCTGGGTCAAAGAAGGACATGAAAACAATAATGTTGCCGTAGGAACCCATGAAAAAGATGATAACAAGCAGGAAGGTGCAGGTCACCAAGGTGGCTGTGTGAATGATCTCCTGAAGATCCTTCTGGAAATAGGTGCTGTTGCCTTTTGGGGAGGTTAGCGAGGTGGTATTGGGGGCTACCTGAAGATGGTCTGTTAGATTCATCTTCAGAAAAAAAAATGTCTCTTTCCTCTGCACCAAATGAGTATGAAAGGGAAAGGAGTCAGAGCCTCAACTCAGAAATAAGTTGGTAAACGTCAAAACAGCTCCAAGGTAGATGAGTCTGCACACAAAAAATGAATGTTGAAAAACAGAAAAGAGTCAGTGTAAAGAGAATATATTCCTCAAAATACAAAAAGTAACATCATCTTGTACAAAGCACGTTATACAGTGCTTTTTTTTTAACCCAAGTTTATGTGCAGAACACATATTTCCCCATAAAGGCAAATAGAATAATCACTCCCCAAAACCTGATATGTGTGTACCTTTTTCTAACTTCCATGGATCATCAACAAATCTGCTCTTTCTCCAGGGAGCGACCCTTACTTCTTACTTTCGTTTTGTAGTTTTTCTCCTCCCTGCTTTCAGTTTCTTCTGTTCTCTTCTATCCCTATGTGATCTATGGCAAATCCCCAGGTGCCCCATATCCTGTTCAGTAAAACCCTGAAGTAGACCACACTTGCTTCTATACTATCTCTTGTAGTTTCAGTGTCCATTTTAAATGAGTATATTTTGAAAAGGAATTTTAATTGCTTTCTTGTCCCAACTTTCTTTTTAAGAGTTAAGGGCTTGAAAGTTCTAGTTTACATTAGGCTTGTTTCCTTATCTCTAAGTTAAGAGGCGGGATTACAGGCACCTTCTTTTTGAATGCCACACATATTTATGAATACTGAAATATTTTAATTCAACGAGTACCTACTATGTGCTAAGCATTGGGGAAACAAAGACAATGATAGATAAAATACTGTTTGTCTACAAGTAAGATCTAGATCAGGGGTGAGGAACCTGGAGCCTCGAGGCCAGCTATACTGATTCAGGACTTGAGGACCTAAAGGGCCACATGTGGCCTTCAAGGCTGCAGGTTCCCCACCTTTGACTATTTTAGGTAAGCACTATGAATCATTTGAATCTATTTCAAATTCATAAATTAGTTTAATATTGCTTAATTTGTAATTTTTGGTATAAGAGACAACATGATATAATGGCAAGAACAATGAATTTGGAATCAGAGGACCTGAGTTCAAATTCTGACTCTGTTAGTTATTATTTGTATAATCCTGGGCAAGTCCCTTCATCTCTGGGTTTAGGTCTTCTCAGGAGTACAATAAATGAGTTAGTCAAATAATCTCTAAGTTTCCTTACTCCTCTAAATCTTGTTTCTATCTAAGCAAGTTAGTATGAGATAGAAGGCTTGCTTGATTCTGTGGGGGTAGAAAGATGGAAGGAATCAATGCCACTTGATTCATGCTTTATGCTTACCATGCATGACTTCCAACACAGGATACCCTAATAAGGAAAGTAATTTGTCACCTACAGCTGCTGTATCTGCTGCACTCACCACAGACTTTTTTTTTGCAGTGATCTTTGATACAAATTTTACAGACCACCACACATCTCAGACCCTTAGATGATTCTGTGCCCAAACTGGCCCCCAACTTGGGGTGCTTCCTGTGAACTCTACCTTCCCATTTCCCCCAAGGTTCTGAGCTGTTCTGGAATTGCCACAGTGCTTCCAACAATCTGAAATGTCTCTTTCATGCTTAAACCCAATCCTGGGGTTAGGTGAAGGATACCTGGAAGATTGACCTTTTCTGATCTCCCCTGCTGCTAATGACTTGCCCTCTGAGGCTACCTTCTACCTACTCTGTAAATATTTTGTATGTACCTATATATCTCTGTATGTTCTTTTCTTTTTGAGGTCAAGGACTGTTTTTGCCTTTCTTTGTATCCCCTGAGCTTAGCAGAGTGGAACATAGTAAGCATTTAATAAATGATTGTTGATCTTTGTATCAAATTTCTCAGATAAGGTCTCTATATCCAAGATATAAAGACAATCAACAGAAATGAGCTCAAAGTCTGTTCTCTAATAGTTAAATGGTCAAACAGTTCTCAAAAGACCTGCAAACAACCATATGAAAGAATACTCCAGACGTGACTATAAAATAAGAGACATGCAAATCAAAATAACCCTAAGGCTTTGCCTGACACCCAGAAAATTGTCAAATATGACAAAAGATGGGAATAGTCAATGTTGGAGGGGTTATGGAAAGCTAGGCACACTAATACATTGTTGGTGAAGATGTGAATCAGTAAAAACCATTTTGGAAAGCAATCAGGACTTATGCAACTAAAGTGGCTAAAATATCCATACTCTCTGACCTAGGGATTCCACCGCTAGGAATATACTCCAAGGAGGTTACTAATAAAAAGAAAAGCCTACATGTACCACAATATATTAGTAGCCCTTTTTGTAGTAGCAAAGAACTGGAAATAAAGTCGATGTCCATCGACTGGGGTAATGGCCAAACTATGATACATGTTAAGTATATAATATAATGGAATATATCTGTGCTGTAAGAAATGACACATATAGGGGGCAGCTAGGTGCGAAATGGATAGAGCGCTGGCCCTTAAGTCAGGAGCACCTGAGTTCAGATCCAGCCTCAGACCAAACACTTGACACTTACTAGCTGTGTGACCCTGGACAAGTCACTTAACCCCAATTGCCTAAAAAAAAAATGACACACATAATGAATAAGAGAAACATGGGACGACTTACATGAATTGATGCAGACTGATGTAAGCAGAATCAGGAAAACAATATACACAATGACAAGCACAATGTAAAAGGTAAGAATAACAACCACAAAACAGATGGAAAATGATTCTTAAAATTTTACAAAAAAACAAAAACAAAAAAAAACACTTTAGCCCCAAATAAGAGATATGAGAGGAGGGACCACTGATGTTGGCATATAATCAGATTCTTCAATATATGGATTAATTTTATGGGAAGAATAGAGGAAGCAATATGGAGGGGAGATTTAGGTTATGTAAAAACAAAAAATGTCAAAAATTATTTTAAAAACATGCTTCATGACTATCGCAGAAATCTTTCTAAAGCAAATCGATTTATATATTCCACCTCCTGAATTCCTTCACTATTCCTATGAGGGAGCAGCTGGTTTATTCCGCATTTTTATTATAGAGATAGGACAAATCAAGGCACTCAAGTGATCTTACAACTCTGAGGGCAACAGCTGCAGTTGCTGCACCTTCATTCCAAGAATCCTGGGTGAGAAAACCCTGCACATGCCAGGCTCCTTCCTTGCCTCAGGAAAATGCAGGACAATGCAGCTGCCAAACTTCCCACACTTGTATGCTCTACCTGTCCCTAATGCCAGGTTGTCCGTTATTAATGTCCGGTGAAAGAGACGACTTGCCTTTGAGATTTTTAAAGAGTCGTGGGGATCTGCCGGAGGAAAAATACTTCGGAGGGTTGGAGGGCCGAGATCCAGGCACCTCCGAGCAGGAAGCAGAGACAGGGACGCCAGGGCCTGCTGGGGAGAGAAGTGAGCGAAGCGAGCTTCCAGGGGGTCTGAGGAGTAAAGGAGGCGGGGGCTAGGGGAGCGGTGCTGGACGTACTGCCTGAGGGGTCCCGGCTGGGGAGCGGAGGAGCCCGCAATGGGTAGGTTCCCTGAAGGCCAAGTGGGCAGACTGGGGTGCCGCCTGTGGACCTGGGCCTTAGACACAACCTCGTCCCACCACCGCATCCCTCCCCGCAGTCCCCAGCCTCTCCGCACGGCCTCTCACCTGTCCGCGGCTCCTCTTTCTCCATCCCGGGCCCAAGAGCCGGGATGCTGGGCCCGATGCAGCAGCTGCCGCCGCAGCCAGAGGATGCGGGCACGCGGGATGCGGGCACGCGGCATCCGCGCCATCGCGGCCACCTCCGCGAAGGAGGAGGCTGGGGGCGGAGAGACTCTGGGAAAGAGCACGGGGCGGAGGGAGCGCCGCGTCCCCCCACCTTTATCCCTCCCCGGCCCACTCCCAGCTCTTCAGCTTCCTCCCCGCAGCTCTCCCGCTCCTGGGCTCGCGGCGCAGCCCCCGGGCTGGCTGCCCGCCACGTCCCCCGCAGCTGCGGCGCCCCTCCGTCCTTCTCCACTTGGCTGGGGGCTCGCAGCGGTGAAGCGGCAGGCTAGCTTTTGAAATGACTCTTGCGGTCACTGCCGCGCCCCCCCCACGTCTTCCCCAGGACCTCAGCCCGGCCCCCGGGGTGACCAGATCCCGCAGCCGGACCTTCGGCACGGCCCCCTCAAGATCGCTATACGGCGCAGGCGGCTTTCTTCCATCGCCACTGAGGCTCCCTCGCCCCTCCCGCAGGGGTAGGGGTTTGTTAGCCCTCAGAGGATCTAGGTATTTGTCCCGGGGCTGCAGGGCTCCCTGAAGGCTGAGACGATCTAGGATAGAGTAAGGTTCCTTGGGCTGGAACAAAACCTAGATGCGACCTCTGATGTTGGCCTCTGTGCCCTAGGCCCTAGGCCGAATGCTCGCTCCTCCATACCCAACCAGGGAGAGGGGAGAGAAGGGGACTTAGCAAAAACGGACAGTGTAAGGAAGAAGAGAATTCATGTGGCGAGGAGACCGGGGCTAGTAAATGTAAAGAGACAGGTTTCAGCCTTCCTTGCAGCTTGTCCAGGTCGGGAACGCACAGCAGTACCACATGCGGTTTCTCCTGCTCCTGTCATTCATGCCAAATCGCGCAGATTCCAGTGATTCATACCCCACCCCCCGGCCCCTTTTCTGGCCGCCCAGACGAGACAGAGGTTGGGTTTTCATCTCACAAGCCAGAATTTTAGCCTAGCTAGAGAAGAATTAACACTGGTTTTTCTTATTCTGCGAAGAGGATTTTGCTTTAAGGAAAAGAGCTGATTCTTAGGGGTGTGTGACCTTCCCTCCTCTAAGTGATCCCTCAATTGGCTCTCGGGCATACATTAGGAATTCCTGGCCCTCTCCCTCCCACGCTGAAGCAAGTGACTAGCAAATAAATGGCAAGCCCCAGTGGAGACACCCGGTACTTTACTGACCTTGGGCAAATGGCTTTACCCTTCTGAGACTTAGCATCTTAGGCTGCAAACTGAAGGTAATTATTGTACCTATCTCATTCG